TTTTTTTTTTTTTTTGAGAAGTACTGGATGGATTTCTCTCAAATTTCATGTGTAGGTCTCCCTTGTTCCTTAGTTGTGGCTTAGATTATTGGATTAATCAGAAAAGCATCTTGGATTTCAACAATGAAATTGTGTTCTTGTTATTTTTTTAGAAGCACTGTATGGATCTCTTTCAAATTTCATATATATGTTCCCCTTACATTCCCTAGTTGTGCCTGTTTGAGTTTGGGACTGATCAGAAAATCAGAATAGCTGACAGGCAGCCATCTTGGATTTCGCCTAGTAAAGATTGCTATCCCTATTTCTTAAGAACTACTGATTGGACCTCTCTTAAATTTCATACATATGTTCCAAGAAGACAAAAGAAGGGAAAATATCAAACTTTTAAAGACCAAATAAAGATCCAACAATGGTGGGCACCAAGATCCCTCTTGGATCTGTTGTCCATTACTGTATTGGCTTCATCATTCAGCATCATTGCACATTTGATGTATACAGTGTGTATCTCTGTAACTTCAGTGAAACATGTTCTGAGGAGTGTTCACCCTTGTTACGCCACTTTTCATTGGCTGTTATATTAGTGGTTATTTTCAATGGCCAATAGGATGTCGTGAAACACTGCGTAATGAAAACCGAGTTTCAGAACATTGAACGATCGCCATACTACTGCTGACAATAATTTAAGTAATAAATGATTTGAAGAAAGATAAAAATGTTGATGTTCTGATAGCATAATGAAATGAATTTTTTTTATCTTTGTACCATATGATATGTTATGAACCTTGAATGAATCATTTGGGAACAATGATCACAATATCAGCAAAGATGTAAATGACCCCATGAAGATTTTCGGGGCATCATTTTTGATATTCTATCAATACATAATGCATTTTGAGAAACTTGAAGCTCAAATGAGTTTTTTAGCATGCTAAGCTTTGTATTGGAAATATGTTCATGTAAATTTCAAAATGGCAACATTCATAATGATGACATTGACATGCAGTGGTTTAGTGTCCCACGGGTCATTGTAAAACATATTCAATTTATCGTAAATTATGGTTCATGTTTGATTATTTGCTCATCACATCTTTTGAAAAACAATCTCTTTTTGTTTTGAAATTGATCCCGGTATGCATACCAAAGGTACATTTTCAGGAACTTTTGGCAACACATCAGAAAATTTTGTGGCATCCTGCCACTCGCACATGGCCTGACCATTATTACAAGTTCCAAGTGACAAAGGGTTTTAACCAAATTTTAACCCTTGGATTATGCTAGTAACTTAAAAAACAAATGCACCAGACTTCCTCTGGACCTAGCTTGACCTTACAGGTAGGCAGGTCAACCTATTGTTTGGGAATTGCAAGATGTGACAAAAAAGGCCAGCAGGGCTGTGACGATGTTTACATAAGGCACCCAGGTGTGGCACAAGAACTATGAAACCATAGTTCTTGTCCTCACTTACTTGTGATTAATCTGTGTTTTCTTTTTTTTTGTGATAATCATCAAAATTGTCAGATTTTGGATTACCAAAAATATAATGGAAAAATCCTGTGTTTGAAGAAAACATGATATTAACAGGAAAATGATACTAAGTGATGTGATATTAAGTTGTTTCCACTGTATGCAGTAATTTGTGGTATTAAGTTCTATATCTCTTTATATTCCCATTGGATTTTCTGTTTCTTATATTTATGATATCTATAAATTTTCTTGAGTTTTACAAACATTTTACATTCATGTAGAATAGTATATTGTGTTCCTTCTGACAATGTAATTATCCATGGCACAGTGTAAGAGTTTAACAACAGTATTTCATACTGGGGGTTAAAAAAAACACTATTGAAATAGATAATCAAGAAAAACACATTGGGTACAAGTAATAGATAATTCTCTGAAGATATGGGTCATAATTAGATCAAAAGCAAAGTCAAAAAAGTTTAGTAAAAAAAATTTAGTCAGCATTAAATCAATCTCATTAACCTAGATTATTTAGATGATACTGAAAAAGGATTTTAGTGCATTTTAGTTTTTGTCATTCTACAGTCACAAAAAAGGAAGGTTTAGACACAACAAACAGTATTTATTGTATGATATATCAGGCATTAGGTTTTAATGGTCAAAAACCATTTATCATTATAGTTAAGGGTATTTTCTAAAATTATCTGCTAATTTCCTTTGTAAATGTAGCTGTTGTGTGTATTATAAATCAGTACTTCTGAATATACATATACCTACTTAAAGATTGACCAATCGGATTACATTAGAAGTATCTCTACTAGAAATTTAATATATTCCTGTACCTGTAAGGGAGCTCTCCGGCTTGGAGACTCGAAAGTTTATCATTCCCAGGTCATTATTCAGCGTGGTATCTGTCAGTAATGTACACGTTTGATGTTTTAGTATGCATATCTTACATACGTTGATGAGATTCAAATTTCAAAGTATTGTTATTTAATAAATGTAGTGATTATACATTCGAAACAACTGTCGTCTACTGTCAGAAATATAGGGGGGGGGGGGGGGGATATGTTTCTGGTAAAACTTTTACATTTTTTGATTTATTAAAAAATATCAAATGTGGACATTATTTTAGTTTGAATTTGCTTATCATGTGAGATTTTTTATCCTAGGGAGGAGGCACTATACAGCTGGATTTAACAGGACACAATCAACTAATTAACCAAGTAAATATCCAGCTGTTTCTGGTATTCGAGGGTGAATTACAACGCCACATCACTATACTTAAACAATACACAGCGGACAAATACTTCTCAATCATACCAGGTGTGTATAATACTACAACATTACCAATCCATCCTTTGTGTACATGTTATTCTGGTTATTAGCTGTTGTTCTAGGGAAAGAGATAAGGGAGATAACCCTGTCATGCCTAATTACTAAGCCACTGAAGTACTGTACAATTGGTGCTGCCATCTCTTTCTACATTGCAGTGATGAAACTCCTGACACAACTTTCCAGGCAGTCTCGCCTTGTTGATATTTACTAGAAATTGCAATAAAAACATTTTAATAAGCTTTTATAAGGGGGCGGGGATTTAGAGATTTTAGCTGACAATTCTCCATTGGAAATTCATTCATGCTGCTTTATTTACATCTTAAATGATGGGCCCCATTACTATCAGTGTTAATTTGGATTATATTTGCTGGAGTATAGATACATTTTGGTGACATATTGACTTACATCATTTCAATGCTTATCACATAGTCTCACATAACACATAGCTTTACATAAACTATTCAAATTATTCGGATTTTCAGGAAGCTCTTTCAGTAAAAAGATATACAGCAGAATACCTTTTTAAAAAAATGAATGTAACCCTGGTAAATATTAGCTGCAATATCTCGCTTTGCTGGAGAGAACTTCTCTTTAGCTTGATCGGTTGAGCATCAGACTGGTAAGCCAGAGGCCCCGGGTTTGAATCATAACGGAAGCATTGAAAGAGATGACATCTGTTACACAAGCAATAGTATTCTGATGATAGGAAGGTTATAATGGTATATATATACATTTATGTATATGTGTCTCATGTTATACATAGAGAGTAGTTGTCACACATGTTATACATAGAGTTTTTGTGACACATGTTAAACATAAAGAATATTTTGACACATGTTAAACATAGGGAATATTTTGACAAATGTTATACATACAAAGTATTTGTGACACATGTTATACGTAGAGAATATTTTGACACATGTTATACATAGAGAATATTTTGACACATGTTATACATAGAGAATATTTTGACACATGTTATACGTAGAGAATATTTGTGACACATATTATTTTGACATAGAAATTTTGACACATATTTGTGGCATGTTATACGTAGAGAATATTTGTGACACATATTATACATAGAGAATATTTGTGACACATGTTATACATCAAGAATATTTTGACACATGTTATACATTAAGAATATTTTGACACATGTTATACATAGAGAATATTTGTGACACATGTTATACATAGAGAATATTTTGACACATGTTATACATAGGGAATATTTTGACACATGTTATACATTAAGAATATTTTGACACATGTTAAACATAGGGAATATTTTGACACATGTTGTACATAGAGAATATTTCTGACACATGTTATACATACAGAATATTTTGACACATGTTATACATATAAAGAATTTGTGACACATGATATACACAGAGAGTATCTGTAGCACATTTTATACATAGAGTATTTGAGACACATATTATACATAGAAAAAATGACAGATGACATCACTGTAGACTAGAGAGACCTTGTCTAGTCATACACACTCAATGTGAGCTCCTTTACACCCCAAGATCACGTCAGGGCTGACAATGTGTTTCATGTAATACAAATGACATAAGCTGGAGAGAGTGAAACTTGATTACTTGAGACACCTCACAACAATTCTGATTTCCACTGATCAATCAACTACAGCCTTCACATTTAACAAGCAGTAATTTCTCATTTAGTTGGGGTCTGGTCTCCCTATATATAAAAACCATGATTTCAGCTTGGGTGGAGGATTGTAAAATAAATGCCATTTTGACACAGTGTGTCAATACATAATGCTGTAGTAATTTAAGAGCAATGCTCTTTATGGTTAAGCCTTCGATGTGATGGATCATAGGGGCGAGAGGATGACTCCTGGGATTAGGAAAAAGGAGGGAAGCAGATTGTTTTGGTTGATTGGTTGAATATTCTATATGTTGAGGTAGAATACTCATGGATCAATTGTTCAAATGACAGGAGGGATTGGATTTGAAATAAAAATGCTGATTGGTGGAGGGGAGGAGGTAGGTGGACTTAGAAAGAAAATTGTGATTGGTTGGTGGGGAAGGTAGGTGGAATTAGAAAGAAAATTGTGATTTGTTGGTGGGGAAGGTAGGTGGAATTAGAAAGAAAATTTTGAATGATTGAAGGGAAGATATTGTGAAAGGGTAAGGTACTGTGAAAGGCTAGCGTTAAGATAGATGAGAATGGAAGAAGGAATTTTGTTGATTGACGGGAATGCAGGTGGGATTGGAATGAGTTTTGTATTTGGTTGGAGGGAAGGTAGGTGGAATTGGAAAGAGAATTGTAACTGGCAGGAGGGTAAGAAGTGGATTAGAAAGTGGATGGTAATTGGCTGAAGGAAAGAGAAATAGGATTGGAAGAAGGAATGTGACCAGTTGAAAGGAAGGTAGGTAGTATTGGAAACAGGAAGTTTAGGTTAAAGTTTGGTTTTGTAAAGAAAATTTTGATTGAGTGGGAGCATTCGGTAGGTGGTATTGGGTGAAAGGGAGGTAAGTGGTATTGGGTGAAAGGGAGGTAGGTGGAATTGGGTGAAAGGGAGGTAGGTGGTATTGGGTGAAAGGGAGGTAGGTGGTATTGGGTGAAAGGGAGGTAGGTGGTATTGGGTGAAAGGGAGGTAGGTGGAATTGGGTGAAAGGGAGGTAGGTGGTATTGGGTGAAAGGGAGTTAGGTGGTATTGGGTAAAAGGGAGGTAGGTGGAATTGGAAAGGAGATTGTAATTAGCTGCAGGAAAGGTAGGTGGGATTGAAAGAAGGAATTACACTGATTGAAGGGAAGATGGGTGGGGTTAGAGAAAAGAATTTGACAGATATATGAAATGAACATAGGGAATGGGGAGAAGATTGTGATTGGTAGTATGGTAGTGGGATATGTAATGGAAGCTCTTTGGGATAGAAAAGGGAGCTCTTAGAAAATATTTCATGAAAGGCTGGTTAGATTGGCAGAGCCGAATGATAGCACTAAGTTTCTATAGAAATAAAAGAATTAGTCTTGGGACAAGGAAGGCTATCAAATAATCAATGAATTTATGAAACCAAGGTTTGAAAATGTTTGTGGGATGGGAAGGGAGAAATGTGCGTGTATCTAGAAATTTTTTAGTCTTGTAAAGAGTTGTAGTTGTATTTTTAGCTTACCTGGACAGAAGGGCTGTGGCATGTCTTCTGTCCGTCCGTTGTCAGTTTTTTTCTTTTAAACAACTTCTTCTCAATAACCAATGGACCAAATGATTGGCTATTCAAATCAGTACAAAGAACAAATAAAGACTAAACAATGGTGGGTGCCAATCTTCCTCTAGGAGATCTTGTGTTGTCATTGTTATGGTAATATCATTGTTCAACAGGATAAGAATGCATGAGAAAAACAATAAGAGCATAATATACATGTCTATGTTTCTTCATAAGGAAACTTTTATTCACATTATGTAAATCTCGTCATATTTAATTAAAAAAGATGAACCTTCCACTTTACACGGGAAAACATGAGGTAAACACTACAAGATTATGATTGAGCTGTAATTTATTTCTGAAAGCCCTGACTAACTTAGGCTAGGTGTGGCTTGCATCAGTTGTTTACTCTCTAACCTCCCTTCCTGTCCCCTCCCCAACATGTGGATACTGAATTGCTATTAAGTAAGGGATGTTTACACTAAAGCACATCTTGCAATCTCCAGAAACTCCAGATACTACAGGTACAGAACCAAGACACATAATTTTGTATTTCAGAGAATTAGATGCTACATAGCTAATAGTCAAAAGGCCACCTCTGTATAAACCTTCCCTTAAATGTCACCTATGTATAATAGATATCTGTCCAAAAATGCCACATCTTTGTAATGCATACCTGTCTTTATAGGTTGCTCCTCTATAACAGCTACCTGTCTTTAAAAGACCACCTCTGTATAAAAGACACCTGTCTATTAAGACCACCTCTATAATAAAACCGTCCAGAAAAGCCACCTCTGTATACTTGTATGTGTCTATAAAAGTCACTTCTATGTGATAGATTCCTTCCTATAAAGTATCAATAATAGATACCTGTCTGTAAAGCCACATCTGTATACTTGTATGTGTCTATAAAAGTTACTTCTATGTGATAGATTCCTTCCTATAAAGTATCAATAATAGATACCTGTCTGTAAAGCCACATCTGTATGATATATACCTGTCTGTAAAGTTTACTTCAGAATTATAGACACCTGTCTGTAAATGCAAATTCTATGTTATAAACTCCTGTCAATAAAGGCCACTTGTGTAAATAAAAAAAGAATCCCTGTCTCTAAAGTCCACTTATTTCAATAGCCAGTTATTTAACTCTGAGTGATTGACATTTTATTCATCTGCATGACTGTGAAGTGTGCCTATGTTGTGCCTATGCTTTGGCACAGCATCCATTGTTGGTTATAAACTTTTCCATTTAAGTGACTTCTTCACAATAACCAAAAGATTCAGGGTACTGATACAAGCTTGTAGCATGCTGGGAAGAAGTGCCACCAAGTTTGTTCAAATGAATGACCTTTACCTAGGTTCAAGCTTACTGTGGTCAAATAAGTTAAACATCATTAAATGACTTCTTCTTAATAACCAAAAGATGCAGGTACTGATATTGGGTTTGTAGCATGCTTGGAGGAAAGGCTAACAAATTCAATCAATCAAATGGCCTTGACCCACTTTAAAGGTCACAGTGGTCAAATGTGTAAAAGTCTTTTAAACACATTTTCCTAATAACCCCAAGAGGCAATAGGTCATGGCATTTAACATGCTTGGGAAATTGATTTAAAATTTTTGAGAAATTAGCTCAGGTGTCAGAGACCGTTTAAGTTGCAGAACAGGTGATTGGTACAGGCCACTTTGCCCACTTGTTACGTAAAAGTTCACATACATTTCAAGGCCATTTTTGGTAACTCCCTTGAATGACCTGTATAGGCAGGTGTGCCTGTATTTCCACCTGGATCAGTCTTGTGTGAGGCTGAGGACTGAAATCAATGTGAAGCTAGGGACTGGAATTGATCGGTCGCTCAACACACCTGAAGTTAATTAATGAAATAAATGTATTTCCGGTCTGACTTGGTGTTCAACTCATGTACCAGTGCCAAGAGCTGAAGATAAATTAATATTTGATTGGTTGAGCAATCACTGATTGCAGCAAAGTAGTCTTTTGAATACCATATGATATCGGGTGCGTAGAGATTATTCTTTGAACGGTTTAGAAGAACATAAGTCCTGCTGTAATGAAAAATGATTCCATACCAACCTGTCTGGCACTTACAGAATCCATAGGGGTGCTGTAGTACACACCGGTGTACTATCTCTTTCCAAGTGCTATTTTAGAAAGAATATAAATCAGGGTACTATTTATCAACACAGAGTCGATATAGAGCACCAGGGTCAGGGCTCAGTAGGTATACTGGTGGGGTTGTCAGGATCTTGATGGGTGCAGGTTACAGCACATAAAAGTACTAATGCCTTCTGTTTTCTGTCGTATTGACTGTCACTGCTTTGGGTCCCAGCATAGGGTGCCTCACCAGTGTTCCTGAAGCACTACCTGGTCTTAATTTCTGTCAATGTGTTACTGCTGATTTAGAGAAAAAGTTATTTTGAGATATTGAATGGTGGTGTGTTGATAAGACTGACTGGTGTCGTTTTGCACCATATCCTGGCAAGTTAATGCTGGAAGGTTGTTTCTGTGGAATTATTGCAGACTTCAATTACAAATGAAGTTTTAGCAAAAAGCTGTGATAATTATTGGAAGTAATCCAAGGCGAAATAATCAGCTAACTGCAGGTAAGTGATTTCTGATTTCAGATGGAAAAAACGTATTCATTATCTCTGGGATGTTTAATAGTATCACATGATATTTGGACAATTTTATAATAGTAGTATCGTTGCAATGACAATTTTATCTCAATAGTCTTCTGGGGCTGACCAGAAAAGTACTAGATATAGATCTTTCTCAAATTTTGCTTTAAGGTTCCCCTCAATTCCTAGTTGTGGCATTATGATCATGGGACTGATCAAAAAACAAAATGGCTGACAGATGACCATTGTGGATTTAGAAGTTCGAGAATATGATCTAGGCCTTATTATTCTTAGACTTTGTGGAGTGGACAGACTAATAGATAATTGTTGTTTAGCTGTCTTTCTGTTTGTTCCTCACACACCCAAACAAAATCTATAGTAGATTGTGTTTGCCTCATCTGTGATAACTATGGTTTATCTCTGTTGATGGCCTAGTCATGTCTAGAATGGTTTTATATTTCTGAAAAAATTGCTTATATCATTGATTAACATTTGATATCAGTGATCAGGCTGGTGACACCCTACCTTTACAGGTCCGCTGGGGAAATCTAATTCAAGACATCGAGGAGAAATGCGAGTGTATTACCACTGCCCACTCAATCATTGATTACTTCAGAAACACAGTAACCTAGGCACAAAAATAATGTTGAAATTGACATGTGTTGCATGCCTTCAACTTATATTTATACTGACAACACATAAAAAATACATGATAGGATGGAGTGTAGAAACTGTTACATAGCCTCACACAGTATAGATGATGTTACATAGCCTCACACAGTATAGATGTTACCTAGCCTCACACAGTATAGATGTTACATAGCCTCACACAGTATAGATGATGTTACATAGCCTCACACAGTATAGATGTTACCTAGCCTCACACAGTATAGATGTTACATAGCCTCACACAGTATAGAAGATGTTACATAGCCTCACACAGTATAGATGTTACATAGCCTCACAAAGTATAGATGTTACCTAGCCTCACACAGTATAGATGTTACATAGCCTCACACAGTATAGATGTTACATAGCCTCACACAGTATAGAAGATGTTACATAGCATCACACAGTATAGATGTTACATAGCCTCACACAGTATAGATGTTACATAGCCTCACACAGTATAGATGATGTTACATAGCCTCACACAGTATAGATGTTACATAGCCTCACACAGTATAGAAGATGTTACATAGCCTCACACAGTATAGATGATGTTACATAGCCTCACACAGTATAGATGTTACATAGCCTCACACAGTATAGATGTTACATAGCCTCACACAGTATAGAAGATGTTACATAGCATCACACAGTATAGATGTTACATAGCCTCACACAGTATAGAAGATGTTACATAGCATCACACAGTATAGATGTTACATAGCCTCACACAGTATAGATGATGTTACATAGCCTCACACAGTATAGATGTTACATAGCCTCACACAGTATAGATGTTACATAGCCTCACACAGTATAGATGTTACATAGCCTCACACAGTATAGAAGATGTTACATAGCATCACACAGTATAGATGTTACATAGCCTCACACAGTATAGATGTTACATAGCCTCACACATTGATTACTTCAGAAACACAGTATAGATGTTACATAGCCTCACTCAGTATAGATGTTACCTAGCCTCACACAGTATAGATGTTACATAGCCTCACGCAGTATAGATGTTACATAGCCTCACACAGTATAGATGTTACCTAGCCTCACACAGTATAGATGTTACATAGCCTCACGCAGTATAGATGTTACATAGCCTCACACATTGATTACTTCAGAAACACAGTATAGATGTTATATAGCCTCACACAGTATAGATGTTACATAGCCTCATGCTGTATAGAAGATGTTACATAGCCTCACACAGTATAGATGTTACATAGCTTCACACAGTATAGATGTTACATAGCCTCACACAGTATAGATGATGTTACATAGCTTCACACAGTATAGATGTTACATAGCCTCACACAGTATAGATGATGTTACATAGCCTCACACAGTGATGACATTTGGAGCCAGACAGAGTGTGATGACAGGTGTACCGACACAACAAAATCATGCCCTGTTGTTTTTAGGTCACTGTTACAATGCTGTAGCCTATGTATTATACTATAATGTTGTCAATCTGGGGGCTTCTTCTCTCTAGGAACATATACAGGTTAATTGATGTTGATGAGTAGATAGTTCTGTATACTTGATGTTTATATGTATGTAGGTATTAGTGTGTAGGGTATGCTAATTACTATGTGGTATCTGTACAAAGACACTGGCAGTCAATGTTCACCTATATAACAAATAAAGGTAGGTTTTAGGTAGTGTCACATGTTAAATAGGAAATTCTTTGAAGAAGTAAGCAAGAAGCACTTTTGATGATTGCATCTATTTTCATTATTTAAAATTTTTTTATTGTATGATGATGTGTTTTTGAGTTGAGAAATCACCATGTGACTTATTATATTTTGTTTGGACTCGGTGTCCTGACAGGTGCTCGTTAAAAACTTGACCTTTTACCTATAGATATTCATATGAATATACCTGCATTAATCTCAATTAAATCTAATTAAAACTCCTAACCTCCTCATTGAAAATATTTTGTCATTAATCATATGTGTCGTTCATAGGGTCTTTGTATCTACATGATTAATGTTGCCTCTGCTTTGTTTCTTTCAGCACATCATAGAGAAGAATCTGTTCAGTTGAGCATCCTGTGTTTCCATGGTAATGAGTGCAGTATTCTGGGTGGTACCCCATTCCGATTTTACTATGACAGTGCATTCTATATGGCCCAGTTCCTTGTGGAGAGTGTATACAACGTCACTGCATTAGACGACCTTGAACTTATCCGATCAGACTACTTTGATCTTTCTAACGAGATTCTGGACACTTTGGATGACCGACTCCAGAAAGCGTTAAATTTCTTGGACATACCAGACTGGTGGCATTTACTGGGATCTACCTCCCCACTGGGTCAGTATGATAATGGATGTGATTCCTGATTTCGCTGTTTGAACAAACCATTTTGTCATGTTTCTCTTGTAGGACACCTTTGTTTTTGTTTCAGTGAACTGTTCATATGCTTGTCTTCTTTAGTGTTTAGTTTTTTTATTCTTTTTGTCATTTTAAAATTTAAATGAACCTGACACATTAATGATTTAAGATACTGTGACTTTTAAATCTGGTCACAAATATCTGATAAGAAGGTGGCAATACATATTGTAAACCCACTGGTTTCTTTTTTACAGAAACTGAAATATTCAAGGATTTACTTCAACATCCAGTTGCCAAAAATTGATTTTTCTGAAAAAAGATACCTACAATGTAGTGCTTCAGAGGGAAATGATTTGACATAGGTGTTCTTGGTACAGCACAAATAATATGACAGAGGTGTTGTTGTTGCAGAACAAAATAATATGACAGAGGTGTTCTTGGTACAGCACAAATAATATGATGTAGGTGTTCTTATTGCAGAACAAATAATATGATGTAAATGCTCTCGGGTGTTGAACAAATAATATGATGTAGGTGTTCTTGGTGCAGCACAAATAATATGACATTGGTATTCTTCATACAACACAAATGGTTTGACAGATGCAGAAAGAATAATATGACAGATGTGTTCTTGGTGCAGAAAGAATGATATGACAGATGTGTTCTTGGTGCAGAAAGAATAATATGACAGATGTGTTCTTGGTGCAGAAAGAATGATATGACAGATGTGTTCTTGGTGCAGAAAGAATAATATGACAGATGTGTTCTTGGTGCAGAAAGAATAATACAGAAAGAATAATATGACAGATGTGTTCTTGGTGCAGAAAGAATAATATGACAGATGTGTTCTTGGTGCAGAAAGAATAATATGACAGATGTGTTCTTGGTGCTGTTCAAATGATATGATATAGACACTCTTGGTGCAGAACAAATGATATAACATAGGTGTTCTTGATGCAGAACAGATAATATGGCAGAGGTGTTCTTGGCTCAGAAAAATTTATATGACATAGGTGTTCTTGGTGCTGAACAAAAAAAATTGATGTTGGTATTCTTTATGTAAAACATAATTTGGTGTCGGTGACGTTGATTTAGGTAAGGTCCAAATCTGTAGATCAACTGTGAGGTATAGTTATTAGATGGAAGTATAGATACAAATTTACTTTATCTTTATGAGAAAATTTGTATGTGATACATCTCTAATTTTGGTTGCATTCTTACATAAATGTGCTTCAAAATTTAAGAAAACACAGAGAAAAAATTCAACCATTTGTCGCCCAATGTCCTCACCATAGTATTGGCTTTCAAAATTATTTTTGTGCTTGTAGATTGTCTATCTCTCCTATAGCACAGACCTTAGCAGTATCTAGTTAAGATAACAACATATTAATGGTGGTCTTTAGGGAATGAATTTGGAGTGTGTGAAATTGTCATTAAAAGTTTAGATATGATGCTTTGATTTACATTACACAATATGTATACCTTGTCAGATCAATTATCTATCTGGTATCGTCCTAGATCACATTGGAATCATTTATATTGTATTTCATTCCTTTGTTCTGTCTTAATAATTCATTTAATTTTATCACTTTTATTTGATCTGAAACATAAATTTTCTATTTGTCAATATTTCAAATATCAGAAATATCTTGTACCAGTTGATGAACTATGTATGTCCTACTCCTTGGTAATATTTTTGGAGTTGTCAAACTTGGAGTCGGTATTCTGAGAACTCTACCATACACTTTACGTAGGAGATCACCTAAATGTTTGTTTGATGGTATTTAAAGTCACCAATGAGAAATGTCACTTTGATAAATATACATTTTAATTACTCTTCATTAGCATTCCTCTGATATGATTGATATGTAAATATGCAAATTGTTTTGTCCTAACAGTGACTCAATCCACAGAAAATATATGTATATACATTACATGCTTGTTGTTCTATTGATTATTGATGGATTAGCCCAGTGTTCATGATATTTACAAAATAGCTTTTGTAAAATAAAAATCAGTTTTATAAAAAGAAAATGGCTGTGGATCAGAGATTTTGTACATATATGTCTTTCACAGGACTTAGTAATTTGGAGTTCCATCTGTCCAGAGGTCTGAAGCCAATTAAAATTTAATACAGCTATCAGGCTTGTGCTTCAGTAGTGCCTTCTGGTTTGAAGAAGTTTTCCATTTAAATGTGTAGGATTTTTTTGTTACCATAGAAACAGATAATAGGCAAGCCATATTATGAATTTAAGGTAAATGGATTTTTCTGGACCAGAGGTCTGATACTGTTAAAATATCTTGTCAAACCTTTGCTCAGATATCAAACTAGTTTCTTAGTAATGCTTCCTACTATGGAGAAGTTCTCCATGTATATACTTTTTCTGTTACCATGGAAACAGATCAGCCAAATCATAAAATTTAGGTATATGGTATATTTGGTCTGTAGCCATATATCAATAAGATCCCTCATGAGATGACAATGACATGACAATGAGACCAATTCGAGTTTTATTTGCAGATTGATGGCCCTTTACAGTTATAATGGATTTTGTGAACATGAGAACTTGAGTAAATATGCAGACTTTGATGAAATTTGGTGTTCAGCTTCTATTTATAAGATCTTGGATGAGTTTTTCAATGAAAATGATTTGATAGCTATTTGTAGATTTATTGCCCTTTGCAGTTTTATTGCCATTGGACCTCGTAAACACAATGCCTCTAATTAACATAAACTGATTTTGATGCAGCAAACTTGATAACGTGGTGCATAAACTTTCTATTCAAATGACTTCTTCTCAATAACAAATAGGCCCAGGGTGCTGATATTGGGCCTGTAGCATGCTGGGATAAAGGGCTACCAATTTTGTTCATGTGATTTACTTTTCTCTTTTTAAATGTCACAGGTGTCAGATGTGTTATAATTTTCAAACAACTTCTTCTCAATAACAGAAAGGTCTAGGCTGTTGATACTGGTTCTGTAATATAAGTGAATAAAGGGCTACCGATTTGTTCAAATAATTGACCTTGACCATTAGTTATGATCTTAAAATTTCTTTTTCAACAAGCAATAGCTTCAGAGTAATACCACTTGTGTAGTAGCATCTATAAAGAATTTGATTTCAAGTTTGCAGAAAATGCTTTTATGAACCAAAATTGTCTCCTTGGCGAGCTGTAGAGCAGTTGAGCAATTTATTTTAGGCATATTTAGCCTCTTTAATATATATGTATTTATAGTCAGATAACCTTTAAAGTTTTTGTTTTAACATGGAAGTTTTTTAACTTGCATTATTAGCTTTAAGACCTTGAAGGAGTTCAATAATGGGACCAATTGGATATAAGTTACAGTGTTCTGGCTCTAGTCAGGTGACAGTTAAGGCCCATGGGCTTATTTCAATATGTATATATTTGTTTTTTATTACCATGGAAACAGGCAAAACTACAGATTTAGCTGTTTCTGGATTAAAATGTCAAAACCATTCAGGATAACTGCCCTAAACTGTGTCCACTTATCATTCTTTCACTCTAGTTGTACTTTTTGCATTAGAGGAGTTTTCTTGTTTTTTTCATTTTTCTTGTTACCATGGCCTCTTTCGCAAATAAACAAAAAGACAAAATAGTAAATTTCATGGTTCCAAGAGTATGGTGATAAAACTGTTTAAAAACTACCTGAAACTTTGTTCACTTTGTACAAACTAGCATTCTCTTGGTGCATTTTGCTGCTGGAAGAGTTTTAATTTTTGATATTTTTTTTTTCTGCTATCTGTCAAAAAATAGCATTATTCTTTGGCAGAGATTTCCAATCTTGTAAGTAACTCTTATATCTATATCTATTTATAACCTGTCATAGTTTCTATTTATTACATGCATCATAGTTTTCTAACTCTAACATGGGTCCCAGCTTTCTATCTATCATATGGGTCCTAGTCTTTATTACATGGATCAGAACTTCCTACCTATTACATGTGTCATGGTTTACTGATGGTGATGAGATTGGAGCAACTGAGTGAAGTTGATTAGGTTACTAGATCATCCGTTTATTCTCCATCAACCAGTTCCACACTGTCGCCCTTGTCTGGGGCCAATATCCCTTATAAACCACAAAACAGGTTTCCTGCCTCATTATGATTTACACCATCATCAAGACCTCGTCAACCTGTCTATAATAATGACACTAATAGGAAAAGAATTAGGTTGTGTAAATCTGTCTAGTTCACAAATCTGTGTCAATATGTTGACGTTGTAACTCGCATTTTAACTCCACTTAGGATCAAACTGTACAAGTAGGGATATGTGGTCGTATGTCAGGTGTTTACTTTTTATAGGTGTACCACTGTAAGCTACCAAATATAGAATGCAGAGATATCAGACTTGTATTAAATTGTCATGATTTAATGTCAATGACATAGGTTATATGATTTTGATTTTCTTTAATGATTTCTAAGTAAACAGATTGTTAACAGATCAGAGTTATTTGTCAGGATGTGGGTCATGATCACTAGCTGGAAAGTATGAGTGGTCAGGAGTGTGTTTGTTGACATACAGTTTAGGATATCATATGTGTTATTAGTTTGACAAAGATGCTATCTGTATCATATACCTATATCTCAACGCTTTTTAAGAAATTGTGAAAATTGAAACAATGTCTTTTCAAAGTTTTAAAAACATATCTAATATTTGGTTGCAGAGAATCCGGATAACCAGACGAGGGAAACTTTGTTACATTTCACAGCACGATTAGGGTTAAACAAAGTCACACTCTTTCTGCTCAACAAACCAGGGAGTGAACAGTGCTTATCCATATCCAATCCTCTTGGAAACCTGCCGAGGGATATAGCTGCTGAACAGGGCTTCACTGACCTCAGTGAGATACTAACAGAGTAAGTCTAGCACAGTCAACCTGTAGACAGCTTAGCATCTTGTTTGTATCAATATATTGTTTGTTTATCTATATAAAGGCAGATTTCCTCATTGACTCATGTCCAAGTGATAAGTTCAAACACAGGACACTTTTTTTCAAGATGTCAACTTAAACACTGTGTTTAGTATGATTTTCCTGTGCACAAGTACCAATGCACTGTTTTTTGTATCAAATAAGTATTATATATTTTGTGCTATGATTTTTTTTTTATAGTTGTTTATCGACTGCCCACAACTCTTAAAAGTTATATGTAATTCAGTAAGTGAACATTTGACATGAATGATATCTAATTAGTGAACATTTGACATTAATGATGACTAATAAGTGAACATTTGACATAATGATGACTAATTAGTGAACATTTCACATGAATGATGTCTAATTAGTGAACATTTGACATGAATGATGACTAATTAGTGAACAGTTGACATGAATGATGTCTAATTAGTGAACATTTGACATGAATGATGACTAATTAGTGAACATTTGACATGAATGATGTCTAATTAGTGAACATTTGACATGAATGATGTCTAATTAGTGAACATTTGACATGAACATTTGATGTCTAATTAGTGAACATTTGACATTTGACATTGATATCTAATTAGTGAACATGATGTCTAATTAGTGAACATTTGACATGAATGATGTGAACTAATTAGTGAACATTTGACATGAATGATGACTTATTAGTGAACATTTGACATGAATGATGTCTATTTAGTGAACATTTGACATGAATGATGTCTAATTAGTGAACATTTGACATGAATGATGTCTTATTAGTGAACATTTGACATGAATGATGTCTAATTAGTGAACATTTGACATTAATGATGACTAATTAAACATTTGTGAACATTTGACATAATGATGTCTAATTAGTGAACATTTGACATGAATGATGTCTAATTAGTGAACATTTGACATGAATGATGTCTAATTAGTGAACATTTGACATGAATGATGACAAATAAGTGAACATTTGACATGAATGATGACTAATTAGTGAACATTTGACATGAATGATGTCTAATTAGTGAACATTTGACATGAATGATGTCTAATTAGTGAACATTTGACATGAATGATGTCTAATTAGTGAACATTTGACATGAATGATATCTAATTAGTGAACATTTGACATAAATGATGACTAATAAGTGAACATTTGACATAATGATGACTAAATAGTGAACATTTGACATTGTTGATGTCTAATTAGTGAACATTTGACATAATGATGTCTAATTAGTGAACATTTGACATGAATGATGTCTAATTAGTGAACATTTGACATGAATGATATCTAATTAGTGAACATTTGACATAAATGATGACTAATAAGTGAACATTTGACATAATGATGACATTTGACATTTGACATTGTTGATGTCTAATTAGTGAACATTTGACATGAATGATGTCTATTTAGTGAACATTTTACATGAATGATGTCTAATTAGTGAACATTTGACATGAATGATGTCTATTTAGTGAACATTTGACATTGTTGATGTCTAATTAGTGAACATTTGACATGAATGATGACTAATTAGTGAACATTTGACATGAATGATGTCTGTTTAATGAACATTTGACATAACGATGTCTAATTAGTGAACATTTGACATGATTGATGACAAATAAGTGAACATTTGACATGAATGATGTCTATTTAGTGAACATTTGACATGAATGATGACAAATAAGTGAACATTTGACATAATGATGTCTAATTAGTGAACATTTGACATGAATGATGACTAATTAGTGAACATTTGACATGAATGATGTCTAATTAGTGAACATTTGACATAATGATGTCTAATTAGTGAACATTTGACATAATGATGACTAATTAGTGAACATTTGACATGAATGATGTCTAATTAGTGAACATTTGACATGAATGATGTCTAATTAGTGAACATTTGACATGAATGATGTCTAATTAGTGAACATTTGACATGAATGATGTCTAATTAGTGAACATTTGACATGAATGATGTCTAATTAGTGAACATTTGACATGAATGATGTCTAATTAGTGAACATTTGACATGAATGATGTCTATTTAGTGAACATTTGACTTGAATGATGTTTAATTATTGAACATTTGACATAATGATGTTTAATTAGTGAACATTTGACATGAATGATGTTTAATTAGTGAACATTTGACTTGAATGATGTTTAATTATTGAACATTTGACATAATGATGTTTAATTAGTGAACATTTGACATGAATGATGTCTTATTAGTGAACATTTGACATTATTTATGCCTAATAAGTGAACATTTGACCCTTTTGATATCTTATTAGTGAACATTTGACTTTGACAATGACAATTGGTGAAGATTTGACCTTGTTGGTATCTAGTTAGTGTAAAGTTTAGTATATCTGACAGCTGTAATGTACTGGCTGTGCTCTCATGTGTTAATGTTAGAAGTGTTAGGACTGTGTATTAGGTAAATATCAAGTATAAATATACTGATAAGGAGTTTCCTTACACATACTATCAACAGTTAGTGTTTCACAAGATACAGGAAGTGTACAGCATGCTGAGCTGTGTATCATTCACACTCTTTATTATCTTGTTGGATACATAGCATAATGCTGGTGACACGTTACATAATACAAGTGACCCTCAGTAAAGAAACCCCCAGCATGATGTGGGAGAGGACAGTCAACATTGGCCAAGAGGATTGTAGTACATGTTATTACTGCTGTAACTGATAAAGGAGTATCACAAGCCTTAAGGGACATATATCGCCCACAACATTTTAATTGCAAGTTTTAAGAGACAAACATTTCATGTAATTTAATTTTGATCCAATCATTTATCATTTAAATAAAAAAAATTGTTACTGTTGTTAGTTATTAGTGATTGTATATAGATAATGAATATGTTCCTTTTCTGTCTTTTGCAGATACAACTCTCACTTTGTTAAAGTAGAAAACAAACCTATAAAGACCAATGAGGGCATCATCAGTTACTATGACAACCGAGAGGTCTCCCTCAGCACGTACCTGCAGAGATCTTTAGGTGGGTTCAGCCCTGATATTCTCTCCAGATTTTTAAACAAGTATTTCTGACTGGGAATCATATTGCCTTCTTTCTCAATAGGGATAAGCTTGTAGGGCCTTTCTTCTGACTAGGGATTAACTCATAGGGATTTCCTCCTGACTGGGGATAAACTCATAGGGCCATTTCTCCTGACTGGGGATTAACTCATAGGACATTCCTCCTGACAGTGGATAAACTCATAGGGCCATTTCTCCTGACTGGCGATTAACTCATAGGCCCTTCCTCCTGACTGGGGATAAACTCATAGGGCCATTTCTCCTGACTGGGGATTAACTCATAGGGCATTCCTCCTGACAGTGGATAAACTCATAGGGCCATTTATCCTGACTGGCAATTAACTCATAGGCCCTTCCTCCTGACTGGGGATAAACTCATAGGGCCATTTCTCCTGACTGGGGATAAACTCATAGGGCCTTCCTTCTAACTGGGGATAAACTCATAGGGATTTCCTCCTGACTAGGGATTAACTCATAGGCCCTTCCTCCTGACTGGGGATAAACTCATAGGGCCATTTCTCCTGACTGGGGATAAACTCATAGGGCCTTCCTTCTAACTTTGGATAAACTCATAGGGCCATTTCTCCTGACTAGGGATAATAAACTCATAGGCCCTTCCTCCTGAGTGGCAATAAACTCACAGAGCCATTTCTCCTGACAGTGGATAAACTCATAGGGCCTTCCTCCTGACTGGGGATAAACTCATAGGGATTTCCTCCTGACTGGGGATTAACTCATAGGCCCTTCCTCCTGACAGTGGATAAACTCATAGGGCCATTTCTCCTGACTGGGGATGAACTCATAGGGACTTCCTCCTGACTGGGGATAAACTCATAGGCCCTTCCTCCTGACAGTGGATAAACTCATAGGGCCATTTCTCCTGACTGGGGATGAACTCATAGGGCCTTCCTCCTGACTGGGGATAAACTCCTAGGCCCTTCCTCCTGACAGTGGATAAACTCATAGGGCCATTTCTCCTGACTGGGGATGAACTCATAGGGCCTTCCTCCTGACTGGGGATTAACTCATAGGCCCTTCCTCCTGACAGTGGATAAACTCATAGGGCCATTTCTCCTGACTGGGGATGAACTCATAGGGCCTTCCTCCTGACTGGGGATAAACTCATAGGCCCTTCCTCCTGACAGTGGATAAACTCATAGGGCCATTTCTCCTGACTGGGGATGAACTCATAGGGCCTTCCTCCTGACTGGGGATAAACTCATAGGCCCTTCCTCCTGACAGTGGATAAACTCATAGGGCCATTTCTCCTGACTGGGGATGAACTCATAGGGCCTTCCTCCTGACTGGGGATAAACTCATAGGCCCTTCCTCCTGACAGTGGATAAACTCATGTGAGGGCCTTCCTTCTGACAGTGGATAAACTCATAGGGCCTTCTGTCTGTCTAGAGATAAACTCCTAGGGCCTTCTCTCTGTCTAGAGATAAACTCCTAGGGCCTTCTGTCTGTCTAGAGATAAACTCCTAAGTCCTTCTGTCTGTCTAGAGATAAACTCCTAAGTCCTTCTGTCTGTCTAGAGATAAACTCCTAGGGCCTTCTGTCTGTCTAGAGATAATCTCATAGGGCCATCTTAGTGAAAGTTTATCATTTGGATTAAGTCATCACAGTAAAAAATTGAAGATCAGTATTATTTTTCTGAAAAAACATACATGAGGAAGATATTTAGGAGCAAGAGAATCTGTTTATTTAGTGCCATACTGTAATTATCTACACTGTTTACTGCTGCGATCACCTTACTTCATTTAACAAATTCATAAATCTCTACAAATCTCTGACGTAGAAAAACTGAACGGGAACGTTTCATGGCAGGTTTATTTATCACCCCTCTTTTTGTTTTTGTTTGTATTGAAAAATTTATGTGACAAATATAGCTCGGAGCAGGATTTCTAGTGTCGGTGTGGGATCAATAGTCGAGCATGAAAGAGCTCCACTGATACAGATTGGTAATTTTTCTACTAATCTAGGGCTCCTACAAGCTTTGATCTTTCTGCCATTATCCCATCTTCTAATCTACCATTAAGTAAGATATACTTCAACTAGGTATACATTATGTCATCACATAATGTCAGTGAAATATTGAATTTGTGCGTATAATATAAACCTGTGATGCAGGATTTTATTTTGTTTATTTATTTTCCAACCCAACTACTTTAGTATTTCATAGAATCCTTAATAACATTACATATGTGAAATAAAAAAAAAGATGAGTTCTTGAAAAAGGAAATTAAAAAATGCTGATTTGCTCCAGCAGGTTTTGTGATATTCTGAAGATCCTTTTGATTTATAAAGGGGAATAACTCTTCTTGGTTTCGCTGAGACACTGTATCTATAGACTTAAATAAATTCCATTAGACATTTTATATAATGTGTCAGTTGGAATGGATACATACTATATTTATAATATATTTTGAATGAATGACTTAACACGGTTATCTATGGTAATAAATGGAAATGTCTGTTATTGTACAAACACATATCTGAACTGTACTGTAATTCTTCTTTCCACAAAATAATTAGATATAAAAATCTAGCTACATAAACCAAGTCTGTAGGACATCTTAATAGAATGATAGAAAAATTTGTTTACGGACTGCTTGGCCTGTTATTATGGCTGTAGACTTCAGATAGACAAGTCTGATGGTGTGGAGTGGTGCACCATGGGAAAGCTTGGGGACCTAGCATAATAGCACAGTGTCATCTTCTTCAGTAAATATGTCATCTGTCTGATATCTGTAGGACAACTTGTGATTATATTTAATTTGTTTTGGTGCAGAGAAAATATTTTAAAAAGAATCATGTATCCAAGTATTGCGATGCAATACAAAAATTTATAAAGGATTAGGGAGCTACTATACCATCCTAATAAGTCTTGCTGTGACAATGTTCTACTGATTAAAAAGTCTTTTATTTCTATACTTGCAGTTGAAGAAGCTCAGATTCTTCATAAATTGGTGGAGACATTTGAAAAATCTGGAATTCCATCCTATGTGCGCCAATCAGAAACAGCCTGGCCAGGAACAGAAGAAATGGACACAGGTCAGTTACTTGGTAATAGTGGAACAAAGGCAACAAAGACATATTGTAGTAACGGTCTGGTAGAGTGGACAGAAAGACATATTGTAGTAACAGTCTGGTACAGTGGACAGACAGACATATTGTAGTAACAGTCTAATGCAGTGGACAGACAGACAGACATGTTGTAGTAACAGTCTGCTACACTGGGCAGGCAGACATGTTGTAGTAACAGTCTAATACAGTGGGCAGACAGACATGTTGTAGTAACAGTCTAATACAGTCGGCAGACAGACATGTTGTAGTAACAGTCTAATACAGTGGGCAGGCAGACATGTTGTAGTAACAGTCTAATACAGTGGGCAGGCAGACATGTTGTAGTAACAGTCTGCTACAGTGGGCAGACAGACATGTTGTAGTAACAGTCTAATAGAGTGGGCAGGCAGACATGTGGTAGTAACAGTCTAATACAGTGGGCAGACAGACATGTGGTAGTAACAGTCTAATACAGTAGACAGACAGACATGTGGTAGTTACAGTCTGCTACATTGGGCAGACAGACATGTTGTAGTAACAGTCTAATACAGTGGGCAGACAGACATGTTGTAGTAACAGTGTAATACAGTAGACAGACAGACAGACATGTGGTAGTAACAGTCTAATACAGTGGGCAGTCAGACATGTTGTAGTAACAGTCTAATACAGTGGGCAGGCAGACATGTTGTAGTAACAGTCTAATACAGTGGGCAGACAGACATGTTGTAGTAACAGTCTAATACAGTGGGCAGGCAGACATGCTGTAGTTACAGTCTGCTACAGTGGGCAGACAGACAGACATGTGGTAGTAACAGTCTGCTACAGTGGACAGACAGACATGTTGTAGTAACAGTCTAATACAGTCGGCAGACAGACATGTTGTAGTAACAGTCTAATACAGTGGACAGACAGACAGACATGTGGTAGTAACAGTCTGCTACAGTGGGCAGGCAGACATGTTGTAGTAATAGTCTAATACACTGGGCAGGCAGACATGTTGTAGTAACAGTCTAATACAGTGGGCAGACAGACATGTTGTAGTAACAGTCTAATACAGTGGGCAGGCAGACATGTTGTAGTAACAGTCTAATACAGTGGGCAGACAGACATGTTGTAGTAACAGTCTAATACAGTCGGCAGACAGACATGTTGTAGTAACAGTCTAATACAGTGGACAGACAGACAGACATGTGGTAGTAACAGTCTGCTACAGTGGGCAGGCAGACATGTTGTAGTAACAGTCTAATACACTGGGCAGGCAGACATGTTGTAGTAACAGTCTAATACAGTGGGCAGACAGACATGTTGTAGTAACAGTCTAATACAGTGGGCAGACAGACATGTTGTAGTAACAGTCTAATACAATGGGCAGAAAGACATGTTGCAGTAAGTATAACATTTTCAGAAAGCTCTAATTTTAGCAGAATTTAGTCTACACAAACTCAAACCTTAGCTTTTATGGTATCTTTAAAGCATTTGACCTTTGACGTTTTGTGAAGTAGTAAAAAAAATTTTTGGAGTGTTAATGTTGGTCACAAATAGATTTAAAACACACTGAATATATACTTTATTTTAGTGAAGCTCCACTATTTTGTGGAATTAATAACATCTGACACACCTTTTTTTTATATATTACCATATTTTCTGGATTATAAACTGCACCTTTTTCCTTGTGTGTCGGGCGTGCAATATCGGTGCAATTAATATGCGAAGAACAAAAACTTTACAGGATGGGGAAAACAAAAAGAAAAAATGGGAAGTTTTATCAGTTACTGGTACAAGATAGTACTGATGTTTATTATGAGTGCCTGCTTGTCATGTGTTTGTGACTGAAACAGATCATCTAGAACCATCATTTGCAATCATTTACAGGATGATTTGAAGATTTAATTGAAAATAACATTTTTGTGGATTTTATTAATCATACCTTTTAATATGAATCACAATAGTATCTTCTGGACTTTCATGGCTACTTAGAAGCCATAGTGGAAGTTTACAATAGCCTTTTGCATCCCAGGATGGATAGGTCATCAGGTTATATGTCAAATTCTAGAATGGCCGCCATGCTTGTTTACAATATGAATGGTTTCATGTAACTTCAAACATGAAGAAATGATATGGGACTGTAAGAATTTGGTCAGCATGCAAGGGCCTTCGTTAATATTTAACAGTACAGACACTGAATGAAAGATTGTTTAGTAAACCATAACGTCAGGCCCTATATCTGTGCGTAGACAATTTGTGAAGGCACCCATGCCAAATGACTTCGATATTTGCTATCTTTCTTTTTTATTATATTATTAAAATAAAGAATTATCTGTGTATAATTCATTTGCAAACCTAATTAATTGTTTCACTGACAATCTTGATAAATTGCCCTCGGTTGCCAGTTATATCAATGAACTTTGGCCAACGTAACAGTTACCACTAGTAAGAAATGTCTTCCGTTTTCTGTTACTAGGTATATCAAACATCAGTAATAGTACTTCCATATTGTTTTCTGTTACCAGGTATATCAAACATCAGTAATAGTGCTTCCATAATGTTTTCTGTTACCAGGTATATCAAACATCAGCAATAGAGCTTCCATAACGTTTTCTGTTACCAGGTATATCAAACATCAGTAATAGTGCTTCCATATTGTTTTCTCTTACCAGGTATATCAAACATCAGTAATAGTGCTTCCATAACGTTTTCTGTTACCAGGTATATCAAACATCAGTAATAGAGCTTCCATAACGTTTTCTGTTACCAGTTATATCAAACATCAGTAATAGTACTTCCATAACGTTTTCTGTTACCAGGTATATCAAACATCAGCAATAGAGCTTCCATAACGTTTTCTGTTACCAGGTATATCAAACATCAGTAATAGTGCTTCCATAACGTTTTCTGTTACCAGGTATATCAAACATCAGTAATAGAGCTTCCATAATGTTTTCTGTTACCAGGTATATCAAACATCAGTAATAGAGCTTCCATAACGTTTTCTGTTACCAGGTATATCAAACATCAGCAATAGAGCTTCCATATTGTTTTCTGTTACCAGGTATATCAAAAGTCAGGAATAGTGCTCCCATAATGTAAGAAAGGTGCTGTCTATATTCAGATGTGGCTTATAAAAATCACTGAAAACTGGCCCTGTGGGTTATATACTGATATGGCTCATAACCCAGAAAATATGGTTAAAAGTCTTGTGCATTTTTTGCAGACAAGTGTTCAACAGATTTGTATACCAGTACCACACTATCTGATGATTTTTATGTTGACCAGATCTGTGGTATATTATCTTCACATATGTCACTTTTGTCTCTGGTCTATTTAACATACAATGTCACTTACAATTTACAAGTATTCTACGTTGTAATGCTTGTGATGACGGAATGACACCAAAAGAAATTGGATTCTGTCCCATTGTGTGCAGGCATAGCTGTCTGCTCATTATGGTTGTATATAATTTATTATATACTCTGTCACTTATAATTACCTACTATTGACTGTAATTCCTGTGGGACTGGGCAAAATTTTCATACTGAAATCTCAAACATATACAGAGTTATTACCCTTTGTCAGTGTTTTGTACTGAATTTTTTACAGAGATGGAGGGCTTTGGATTCCTTATAAAACTTTTCATGATGTAATCAACACATTCTATAATAATGTTTTGAGTGTTAAATGTTATGTTGTAGATTTTCTTTATAAGAAAAAACACTTCTTTTGTCCTGTGAATGAATGATAACTTATGTATGGTCATTATATACAGGTAAATGGTCATTATGTACTGGTGTTAGGTCATAATGGACAGGTATATGTTAACTATATACAGATAAATGGTCAATATATACAGGTTTGTGATAATTAAATACAGGTATATTGTCATTAAATACAGGTATATGGTCATTATGAACAGATGTATTGTCATTAAGTACAGGTATATGGTCATTATGTACAGGTATATGGTCATTATGTACAGGTGTGTGTTGGTAGTAAGACCTTGTGATAACTGATGTTGTAATATCATCAAAACAAAGTGTCAACACTAAATGGATAGGGAATGAATGTATAAGTCAGAGGCCTGATGTATATCACTTTCTAGTGCTGATCAACTCTACAGTACAACCCTGCTACAGTTTGTCAGTAAGAATCTGTGATTTTATTTTTACTCCAAGTGACTGAATTATTCAGTGGAAATTGAAACCATTGATTTTGGTTGTTGTGTCCCCATACACTGCTCATTACAGATTAAAGTTGAAGCGGCTGATATACACAAACTTCCCCAATCACTGATCACAGAGCCTCTCCCTCTATCTCCACCTCAGGGAAGATTTGGTTGCTATAAAATGTTGCTGATGCTGTGGGTTGGGCCTGCCTTTTATGATGGTCTCTGTGGAATCCATACTGATCTGAGCTTAAACTTGGCACATCAAACGCAGCTAGGATACACAGAAGACCTTCCCTTAGGCTACCGAATATCATAGGGATACACACAGCAGACCTTCCCTTAGACTACCATATGTTACTGGGATAGACTGAGCAGACCTTCACTTAGACTACCATATGTTACTGGGATACACACAGCAGACCTTCCCTTAGACTACCATATGTTACTGGGATACACACAGCAGACCTTCCCTTAGACTACCTTATGTTACTGGGATACACACAGCAGACCTTCCCTTAGACTACCATATGTTACTGGGATTCACACAGCAGACCTTCCCTTAGACTACCATATGTTACTGGGATACACACAGCAGACCTTCCCTTAGACTACCATATGTTACTGGGATACACACAGCAGACCTTCCCTTAGACTACCATATGTTACTGGGATACACACAGCAGACCTTCCCTTAGACTACCGTATGTTACTGGGATACACACAGCAGACCTTCCCTTAGACTACCATATGTTACTGGGATAGACTGAGCAGACCTTCCCTTAGACTACCATATGTTACTGGGATACACACAGCAGACCTTCCCTTAGACTACCATATGTTACTGGGATACACACAGCAGACCTTCCCTTAGACTACCATATGTTACTGGGATAGACTGAGCAGACCTTCCCTTAGACTACCATATGTTACTGGGATACACACAGCAGACCTTCCCTTAGACTACCATATGTTACTGGGATACACACAGCAGACCTTCCCTTAGACTTCCATATGTTACTGGGATACACACAGCAGACCTTCCCTTAGACTACCTTATGTTACTGGGATACACACAGCAGACCTTCCCTTAGACTACCATATGTTACTGGGATAGACTGAGCAGACCTTCCCTTAGACTACCTTATGTTACTGGGATACACACAGCAGGTCTTCCCTTAGACTACCATATGTTACTGGGATACACACAGCAGACCTTCCCTTAGACTACCATATGTTACTGGGATAGACTGAGCAGACCTTCCCTTAGACTACCATATGTTACTGGGATACACACAGCAGGCCTTCCCTTAGACTACCATATGTTACTAGGATACACACAGCAGACCTTCCCTTAGACTACCATATGTTACTGGGATACATACAGCAGACCTTCCCTTAAACTACCTTATGTTACTGGGATACACACAGCAGACCTTCCCTTAGACTACCATATGTTACTGGGATAGACTGAGCAGACCTTCCCTTAGACTACCTTATGTTACTGGGATACACACAGCAGGTCTTCCCTTAGACTACCATATGTTACTGGGATACACACAGCAGACCTTCCCTTAGACTACCATATGTTACTGGGATACACACAGCAGACCTTCCCTTAGACTACCATATGTTACTGGGATACACACAGCAGACCTTCCCTTAGACTACCATATGTTACTGGGATACACACAGCAGACCTTCCCTTAGACTACCATATGTTACTGGGATACACACAGCAGACCTTCCCTTAGACTACCATATGTTACTGGGATACACACAGCAGACCTTCCCTTAGACTACCATATGTTACTGGGATACACACAGCAGACCTTCCCTTAGACTACCATATGTTACTGGGATACACACAGCAGACCTTCCCTTAGACTACCTTATGTTACTGGGATACACACAGCAGACCTTCCCTTAGACTTCCATATGTTACTGGGATACACACAGCAGACCTTCCCTTAGACTACCTTATGTTACTGGGATAGACTGAGCAGACCTTCCCTTAGACTACCATATGTTACTGGGATACACACAGCAGACCTTCCCTTAGACTACCATATGTTACTGGGATACACACAGCAGACCTTTGTCTGGCCTTCTCCTTGGGTCCTGTAACAAGCCCTTTCACAGATGTTTGAGTTTGATGAAACGTCTGGATAGGATAAAGGCAGTAGGAGATACAATGAACTGTTGTAAATTATTGAAAAGTATTTTAGATTATGGCCTAGGGACAAGGTTACACCAAGTTCAAGGTCATGACCTTATTGAAATAGGTAATTATTTTATGCACATTGACTTGTCACCTGTTGTATAGGATTTAACAGTTAAATATGTAACTGTGTGAACTTAAATACATTGATATTTATTTTTTCTCAAATAAAATCATAGTTTGACTTGTTTTATTTTTCTTCGATTTCCACAGATAAGCAGAGAGCATTTGAGGATCAAACTGATAGTAAACTGAGGGCTATCATTCTGAAATCCAAAGATCTCCAAGTTTTTATGGAGGCACTTGGTAGCAATGATGGTAGCAGTGATAATATAATTGATCTCGACTCTCCTGCAAGGTCACTGGAGGATCTCTCAGACACACCCTCCGACAGGGATACAGAAATTCATGATGGCTGCCAAGCTTATGGTAGGTTGCAAACTTTTACTGTAGAAAAAATTCACAACATTAAACAAAGCATTTTTAATGAATTTATTTTCTGCTCTGGAAAGAGATGAATTTTGTTTAAATTAAAAACGGATTCCATTAAATCTTCAGCATCTCCTATCAGCCAGATTTCATTTATTTCAATTGAATACTTCGTCAGCAATCACATATTGTAAATTAATCTGGGAAGAAGATCCAGTTGTGTTGTAAAATCTGCTGTGGTTCACCAACCTGTGATACAGAGAGTTTAAGCAGCAACATACACACTGTCTCACACTGTTGTATCACTTTAATTCGTCAGTCTGCTCATTAGAAATTTAAATTGAAGCGCAGAAGAAATTTCCTTCTGTCTAAATTGCTTCCGATACAAGATGGTATAAAATCTTGGACCAGATTTTGGGGTTTCCTGATGTTAGTGTTTGTAGTTCAGTTTGTTGCTGCCTTTTGATTCCATCACAGAAATTTATAGGTATTCTACGTCTTATGTATGGAAGTAAATTACTTTTGGTTGTATTAATAGATGTTTGTTTCTATCTCTGTACATTTAAAATTCATATGTTGCTCAATTTTTGTTGCTTAATAAGTAGAACATCAGACTTGGATTTCTCGTGAGGAAAACCTGAGGTGTATGGTTCAATGATCTCTACTTGAGGCATGTAGGTCAGGAAACTGAGAAACCAAATGCCCTGTGCTATTGTGGCAGTTTCGGTGGGCAAAACACTTATCACCCAAATGCTCTGGATAGCATGTGATGGGTCTCCCACATAGTGGTCAGTGAGGTAGCTACCTGTCTGTAAATGGTGCTGGCTGTTCATGTGGAGATAAACCAAGCAAACAAACCATAATTCTGTTTTTTCCCCAAGACTGAATGGTGAAACAAAAAATAATGCTTAATCTAACTATATGATAGTGAGTTCCTTTTAACAATCAGAGTAACTGATTGATGGTAGTGATATTCTTGCTTGGTTTACACAACATTTCATGGCTGAATATCATGTCATTCATAGGGCGATGACTTGAATCCTGTAACATGTTCCAGAGAAGGCTGATTAATATTGATCTTAAACCTTCAATTGTATTGGTTTAAGTATTACTTTGTTAACATGAGGCTGAGGTTTTTATGTTGAATTAATAATTTCTGAATTTTATTATACATACCATGTTAGTGAAAATAGCCTTAAATAAATCATATTATTGTTAAAATTGTCATGTTGATATACAATAATTGACCAGTTTTCACGAGAATATGAGTATCAACCTGAGACAGTGATTTTACCTGAAATTAAAGGCCCAGAGAAATATATCACTTTTGAGGGTTGATAAAACTTCCTAGTCACCAATGAAAAGGTCGATATCTATTCTATTGTACATTTCCCCAACTTTTTCACATTTTTGTCAGAGGTCAGCATGAAAGGATGTTATAAGGGAAGTGTCACACTCATCGATGCACTAATAAATAGTAAAGTGTTACATCTACACATTGTTGCCCAAAAGTTAGTTTGTCATACCTAAAATTCAGTTAGAGTCACTCTGGGTGGATTGCCTCCCTTTCCTAGAATTGAGCAAAAAAATACATGGTCATTATTTCAGATATTATTGTGATGAACACATTGATGAAAATCCCATTTCACCAGATAAAGAAAATGTGTATGGATTTACACATACATTAATGTTGATATAACTGATTGCAAAAATAGCTACCATTGATACATTTTGTAACGCCCACCCACACACCCCTCCCCCCCAAACAACAACAACAGCTACCATTGGTATTTTTACCATTTCTTTTGAAAAATATGTTTTTGTATTGCCGGATGCTTTATTCTGATTGGTCAGATTTATCTTATCATTAATATTAGATTATGTTTTCTTTACCTTTGGTTTATGCCTTCATTAAATAGAAAATAATATTAATTGAGATTTAAGCCCTGAGGTATAGAACTGGCCTGTGAATGACCTTCTGTATCCTAGATCTTCTGTCGTTAAGGTTTTCTGTACTGTTTTATTGTCTATATATTTCCTCATTCTCTTGGCATTATCACCTAATTTCTCTTAATAGACACACCTGATGAACTGTCAGAGTTACAGCAGCAGGTTGTTTGTGCTTGGATGTTTGTCAGAGGTCAGCAAAATAACAGGGGTCAGATAGATGGTAGTTCTATACTAATGACTGTAACAGAATGTACTGTTATGGTAACCCTATCATCTCATGGCAGCTTCAGCTGTCAATCAAAAGCTCTTCATCTGACATTGGTTGAAACATAATATTTACTTCAGTACAAAATCACCTAGTTCACAGAATTCTGATGGCAATGCCAGGACAAATTAGACTTCAATGTTTTTGTTGATTACAGTTAGATAATGCAAAGTGGATGTAATCATTTAATTAATTAGTTCTTTTCATCACATTAGTAGTTCATGCTTGCTCTGTAAATAAATAAAAGTGTTTACATTGTTTTTGCATTTTAGAAAGAAAATTTAAGTGTTTCATTTATTTATAAAACGATAACTTTGGATGGAAACGTTTTAGATTTAGAACAAATATTTATCAGATGATTACTATTCACCCCATGATAGGCCCTCTGTAACTGACAGTAATAGATTAAACAGGAAAGAGAGCACCACTGTGATGTGTGGAAAAGGTGTATATAATGATTGACTTAAACCACTGGGGCTCCACACAGGGGCTTGGCATACTTGTAAACACTTTCCAAAAATAAGACTTGGTGGCATGCAATGGATGGATATGATGAGCTATGTTATAAAACATGTGAAAACAGGCTATCATTGAGCTGATCATTCCAAATGTTGATAGAGTCAGAATTAGAGGCAGTTTGTATGTAGTTTGGAAATAGCTCTTTTCATCATGTAGTGGATTTTACATCCAATTAGTGCATTCGTGTTTGAATGGAGGCCAAGGGGCATTTCTCAAACCCTACAGATTGATACATAGGTTTGATGGACTGGTTTTGTTGGACATGGGCTTGTGGATATTGGGGTTTGATGGGCTCATTTTTATGCTCCTTGAAAATTTTAAGTTTTACTGATAATCTTGTGTTGGACAAGGTCTGAAGGATACTTGAAGATGTTGGATAATCATATATGGAGGATAGTGGGTTTTGATGGACTTGTATGGTTGGACAATGTCCATAGTATACTGGGATTTAATGAACCAGTTTTGTTGGTCAAGGTCCATAGGATACCAGTGTTGGACAAGGTCTTTAATATCCTGGGGTTTGATAACTGGTTTTGTTGGACAAAGCCTGGAGGATACTGGGTTTGGATAGACAAGGTCTGGAGGATAGTGGGTTTGGATTGACAAGGTCTGGAGGATAGTGGGTTTGGATTGACAAGGTCTGGAGGATAGTGGGTTTGGATTGACAAGGTCTGGAGGATAGTGGGTTTGGATTGACAAGGTCTGGAGGATAGTGGGTTTGGATAGACAAGGTCTGGAGATTAGTGGGTTTGGATTGACAAGGTCTGGAGGATACTGGGTTTGGATTGACAAGGTCTTGAGGATAGTGGGTTTGGATTGACAAGGTCTTGAGGATAGTGGGTTTGGATTGACAAGGTCTGGAGGATAGTGGGCTTGGATTGACAAGGTCTGGGGGATACTGGGTTTGCATTGACAAGGTCTTGAGGATAGTGGGTTTGGATTGACAAGGTCTGGAGGATAGTGGGTTTGGATTGACAAGGTCTGGAGGATAGTGGGCTTGGATTGACAAGGTCTGGAGGATAGTGGGTTTGGATTGACAAGGTCTGGAGGATAGTGGGTTTGGATTGACAAGGTCTGGAGGATAGTGGGTTTGGGTTGACAAGGTCTGGAGGATAGTGGGTTTGGGTTGACAAGGTCTGGAGGATAGTGGGTTTGGGTTGACAAGGTCTGGAGGATAGTGGGTTTGGCTGGATGGTTGGTGAATGAGACCTCTTAAAAGCACTGACTGGATGGTGGGGTCAATCTGTCCCCTAAAGCACTGACTGGATGGCGGGGTCAATCTGTCCCCTAAAGCACTGACTGGATGGCGGGGTCAATCTGTTCCCTAAAGCACTGACTGGATGGCGGGGTCAATCTGTTCCCTAAAGCACTGACTGGATGGCGGGGTCAATCTGTCCCCTAAAGCACTGACTGGATGGTGGGGTCAATCTGTCCTAAAGCACTGACTGGATGGCGGGGTCAATCTGTCCCCTAAAACACTGACTGGATGGTGGGGTCAATCTGTCCCCTAAAGCACTGACTGGATGGCGGGGTCAATCTGTCCCCTAAAGCACTGACTGGATGGTGGGGTCAATCTGTCCCCTAAAGCACTGACTGGATGGCGGGGTCAATCTGTCCCCTAAAACACTGACTGGATGGTGGGGTCAATCTGTCCCCTAAAGCACTGACTGGATGGCGGGGTCAATCTGTCCCCTAAAGCACTGACTGGATGGCGGGGTCAATCTGTCCCCGAAAGCACTGACTGGATGATGGGGTCAATCTGTCCCCTAAAGCACTGACTGGATGGTTGGTGAATGAGACCTCTAAAACACTGACTGGATGATGGGGTCAATTTGTCCCCTTACTCACTGACTGGATGATGGGGTCAATCTGTCCCCTAAAGCACTGACTGGATGGTGGGGTCAATCGAACCTCTAAAACAAAAACTGAATAGTGGGGTCAATCTGTCCCAAAAATCACTGACAGGATGGTAGATATATTTGTCCCCAATATCACTGACTGGATGGTGGGTCTATTTGTCCTCAATATCACTGACTGGATGGTAGGTCTATTTGTTCCCAATATCACTGACTGGATGGTGGGTCTATTTGTCCTCAATATCACTGACTGGATGGTAGATCTATTTGTCCCCAATATCACTGACTGGATGGTAGATATATTTGTCCCCAATATCACTGACTGGATGGTGGGTCTATTTGTCCTCAATATCACTGACTGGATGGTAGATCTATTTGTCCCCAATATCACTGACTGGATGGTAGATATA